TTTTTAGCTCAGCCAATTTTTTTCCCGCTGTGTTCAGTATTTTTTGTGAAACTATCTGACAATCCTAGTGCTTCTCCAATCAACTTTCTCAATCTGATTAACAAATGATCCCTAAGATCCAGGCCAAATACTCAAATTTAGTATGTACAGTACAGACTGCTCTGCCTCTCATGAGAGGGAGGAATATCAATGTTTGTGTGTCTGTGTCTGGATTGTGAAGCATTACCTGTCCAGAGATTAGCCTGGAAGTTTAGGTGGGAGCCTTAAAATTCTGAGGAAACCCATTTTGGCGAATCTGAGCCTATTTCATTTCATTCACCGCTCTCCATCACATTTTTCCAAAGTGCAGGAGGTTTAAGATCTGGACTGTTGTTGTTTTAGCCCACAAGAGAGGGGACATTTGCAAAATATGGATCCAGATCTGGTTTCAGATTCAAATGCCTTCTAAGTTTAGAGGAGCTGCTGAGATCTGAGGCAAGGATTTAGTTCAAAAGTGAACCTGAAAAGATTCCTTGGGATAACTTGTATTTCTAGCTGTCCTTTAACTGGAAAGCAGAAGAAACTACCCACAAAGACATGCCATTCAATAACATTTTTACCAATGTTTTATATATGCAGCCAGGAGCCTCCTAGAAAACTCTACTCTAAACCCATATCACAACAGCTTTACAATGTCCACTGTTGTTCCTTCTAACCAACCCCCGTTTAAAAAGTGACTGTCAAGCAGTTTTGTGCTGCTGCACAAAATCCCCTCTCTGTTAAAGTGGGAGATTAGACAGTTAAAGTTACCTTGTCACCCTACCCTGCTTAATCCTGGCATTTCAATGTGTAATTTTATTGAGGGTCTTGGAGCTGAAAGCTGGGTTTGTTTATTTATTCGGTTCCATGATTTTTTTAAAAATGTGATTATAGTATTTATTATTCACTTGGGACTCAAGAACAAAAGCTTTTTACCTTTCTTAACCGCAGCTCTTGGAAAGGTGGTGGGGAAACTTTTCGTTGTTGCTTAAATCCTTAAACAAGCTAAGGTTCCACCTCCCCCTCCCTCCCGCACACACCTTTCAAAGAAGAAGCAGGTTGAGTCAGACAGTCTCCACAAAGTGTCATACTGCAGTTGGTGCAAGAGAATATCCCGGCATTAAATCTGTCAATACAAAGAGAACAACACACACAAAAATGTGGCTAAAACCAAGAAATGTAGCATAATTACAGGTTCATTACTGCAAACAAAAGCATCCCCCAATCCCACCCCTTTGGCAGGAACGGGAGCAATTCAAACAGGCTCATTATGTAGTTACCTGGTCAGGGCTAGAGCCCTATGAATAGCTGCTGTGGCTCTGTTTATTATCCAGCCTGGGACTTTTGGGAATGGTCCGGCTCAAGCCGCTTAGGTGTAAGGCTGCTGAAAGCAGCAAAACTCTGAATTTCCCTGCCCTTCTTTTCCCACCTATTGTTACAGCCTTTTCTGAGGAATGAGATGGCTTTGTGTTCTCTTTAAAGTGTATTTAGGGATGGCAAAAGGTGCCTGACCATCGACTCTGGAGACTGCAGATCTGTTTATCCACTGAACAGGTTCTGCAGAGGAAGGGGCAATTCAAGCTCACCCCACCTGTGTACAATATCTCAACTCTGGCCTGGTGGGACCAGTCTGAGGAGTGAGAGGGGAGTTTTGGGCCTCTCTCCTGTGATCACCAGTTAGCACCAGCTGTTATGCATAGTAGGAACATGGACTGAAATAACCATCTCCTTTGGTGCAGGTCCTCCAACAGCCATCAGCTGAAAACAGCTCCCTGCTCTAACCTGGGCTGGATTATCTTCCTTTGGTTTATTTTCATAGCTAGGCTTTCAAAGAAAATCCACATGCACACAGAAGCAGCCAGCTTTTAATTTCCCCTGACTGACACTTTCTAAATGATACAGAGCCTCCTTTTTATTGTTAGTGGGAAGGATGCAAACAGTAAGGACACCCTAAACACCCACTTCCATGGAATCCAGGGCCAAAAGTTTGCAGACAACTTTTTTGCAGGACTGGTATGTGCTTGGATTCACATGTGGAGGTGTGTGTGATATTGGATCCTTCAGCAGATCAATATCCAGCTTGGTTATTTCTTTGCCAATGGCCTCAAAAGATAGGTGAAGCAAAGGCAGTGGCTACACAAGAGCGGAGGAGGTCTTTAATCATTTCAATTTCTGATTTCGCAGGCTCCATATCTCGGGGGGGAGGGAAGGGGTTGAGAAAGTACGAATTCCCCTTCAATACCACAAGTCTGTCCCAGACCCACAGCTTCCCTCTCTGCTGGCCAAACAATTGAGGAACTCCAAATGGCATGACTGAATACTCAAGGAACTTTACAATTACCTTCCCCTTCCCCTCAGTCTTCAGTGGTGATAAATGCTGCTAACACACACACACACACTAAACTCGTCTCCATCTACAATGCAGGTGTCAGAGCACATTTCCTCTTGTAACCCTGTTCTTTTCTTGGTAGTCCTGGTTCTACTCAGACTTCTTTCCGTGCTTGTGCACAGCTGAGAACAGGCTGCTGCTTCTGACTTGTTTAGCCAAAAGAATGGAGCCACCATAGGCCAAATTCGTCCCTCGTGACTTAACAGGGATTTAGACCAAACTTAATTTGGCCCCAAGTATATAATTAGCAAAGAAGAGACAATCCCTCACTTTCCCCAAGACCTCTCTTCTGATCCCCACTGCATCTCCTAGTTCTTGAATCATCTTTTTTTTTTGGTCCCCCAACCCACAAATCTTGCTGTTTTGGATACCCACGGATAGCTGCAAAGACCATTATACAGGATGAATAGGCAATTTACTGCCGCCACTTTGCCTTGGGGGAGGCAAGCTCCTTTATTTTTCTTGTGCATGGACAATGACTCCCCCCATCTTTCTTCATCAGGCCCCACTCTTCGGGCAAACTCCATTCTCTTCAAAGCTCATCACAATTATTGGCCAGAGGCCTAATTTGTAAGGAAAGAGGTGCTGAGCAGTGTTTTCTGTAAGCTGGGTGCTTGTGCAGCCACTTGGAAGAGATTCAAATGCGGCTCAGCTGATTAGCAGAGTGCCCACAGCTAGGTTTTGTTTCTACTGGTGGTGCACATTTGCACGTGCCTCGGTGCATATAAAAAATATTCTACCCATGAATGCAAAAACTCTGCACGTGGATGGAAAGATTAGAGGGCACATTGGTGCTGAGGCACAAGGATTTCGGTGCCAGGGTTCAAGCACTATTTGTACTTTCATAATGGAAGCAACAAGCCCAGAAGTGCTGGGGCTATGAAATGCCAGGCTGAGCAGTGCTGGAGCTCAGCTTTGGCATGCCGGGCATAAGCACTGGCTGTAAGGGGTCACTCAGAGGTTCTCCCCAAAGAAAATGAGCACAACTTTCATCTGCAACCAGCTGTAAAAAACTAAGGGCAGAGTTTCAGTCCCCTCTGTGACCATAAAACTGGCTAAAAAGCTTTTCTTCCTCTGTTTAGCTGAGTGAGTTTTGTTCCAGAGAGAGAGAAACATAAAAAAATGTTGGGGTCTGTTTCAGGCAGGTACACTCCTAATTCATATGCTGATCAAAACTCAGTTCACAAAACTGCACTGGAAATCTCACAGGAATTACCCTCTGAGGTTTCCAGCAGCTCCCTCCAGCCACACCACGAGAACACACTTTCTCAAGGTGTTTCAGACATCTGGTCCCAGCAAAGACTCCACAATGCTGCAAAAATGAAATAAAAAAAAAGTGAACCAAACTTTTTCAAACCCCAAGAGCACTTCCTCAAAAATGGTTTGAGCATCGGGCACATGTGGAGCATGGAACTCAGTAAAGTGTCAGCCCTGATCCTACGCCTGCGCAGACTCAAGGGGGACCCACCCATGAGCAATCTTATTATAGGTCTGGGGCTGCAGGAAAACTCCTGTTGACTTTAGTAAGTAAAAGCAACAGGATCAAGCCCTCTGAGTCTAATTTAACATGCACTGTGGGACCCCTCCACCCCCCACCTGGCAAAGCATATGCAAAGCCTCAGCACACACACTAGATATAAAAAATACAGAATAAAAAAACCCCTCCAGTTTAAAAAAAAAAAAAAAAAGGAACAAAGAGCAGAGTGTGTGACTGGAGAACTAGAGAATGTCTGTGTGTTCAGAAAGTGCCTCCCTCCTCTCTACGTCCACCCCCACCCCCCACACTATGACAACTCAGAGCCTTTATAAAAGTACAGACTTCTCATTCCATTCACAATCCTTCAAAGGCTCTAAGATTCAAGGGAACTTCCTGTTTCATTTCAAAACGTCTCTTTCTTTTTCTTTTCTAGACTGTTAAAGACTATTCTAACGAGGAAATGTTTGCTGTATAGTGTACAACCTTGCCTCATACATAACCTTAAAGTCACATTTGTCAAGGTGTTTTACATTAATTACATCCCCTTCAATCCCAACTTTAATGCATAACAAACTCTTGTGAAGCTTGAAACTGGAATCTATGTTAGTTACACAAACATTTTTCCTCTGTCATGTGCATGCTGCTTATTGTAGAGTTGCTGGGTTGTACCTACTGTTTTATTATTGTAGGGTTGTTTATAAATATGGAGTTGTGCCCATCTCTTTGGAATAGGACACTTGCACACTCTGCTTTGTGATTGTAGGGCTACTTGTAACTGTTACTTTGCATACACTGTTTAGTTATTGTAGAGTTTTTGGTGAAAGCTGGTTTGCACACAATGCTTGGTTACTGAAGAGTTGCTTGACAGTTCTAGGCTCCTGGAATTAATTTCGTCTAGTTATTTTAGCAACAGGTCATTGAAGTGTTGAGGAAAAGACACATTTTTTAAAAAATGCAAAAACATACATATGTGGTGTGCGGGGAGGGGAGAGTTAGGTCAAATCTGGGGCCTTGCCCACCTTGTCTGTGTCCCTGCAAAGTAGATTCCTGTTCCTGGTTTTTGTGGTTTTGATCAGGCCCCTCCCTGCTACCCAGCTCTGTCAGCTGGCATGAATTTCAGCCTTGGAGAAGCACAACTGACTTTTGATTCTTGGCGTTTTTGCAGCGCATATTAATGTTCCTGTGAAAACAGCACAGCATTAACAATGCTCAAAGGCTTGAGTTACTGTAAAAATCTGTACCAGACGCAGGGTTTAAAAGTTCAGATAAAGGAAAAGATGGAGTAATGGGGGGGGGGAAACAGGAGCAAAGTACTGACTTGAGTGATAGTGTCGAGTGACTGCTTTTGACTTGATGGGTAACAGTTTCCCAAAGGTTAGGAGGGAGGAACTGGGAAGAGTGCTCAGCCAGCTGGCTGAAGAAACCCAACTTCCCTCTTGTTTGCCAACAGGTGATTAGAAACTAGAATGGATTTAATCAGTTAGAGGCCCATCTACAATTACTCAAACCTGCCATCTCAGATGTCGTGGGACAATCCCACATCTGCACACCACACAGCCTGCCAGGAAAGCTTGTGGGATGTTAATGTGAGGGGCGGGTGCGCTGTTGGGAGAAAACCAGGACCCACCCTGTAGAATTGCTCAAACCACTGACTAAACTTTGAAATTCTAAAAAGTTTGTGTTCTATCTCCATCGGTGAGTGAGTAATTTCTGAGAGGACAATTTGGTTCAATTTGTCGATTGATGAGCTTTTATCTGGTAATCACAAACCGAGTCTGAGCCTTTCACAAGATTATCCCTGCTGTGCTCCCAGGAGGGAGGGAAGTGCTAGTATCCCCTTTTTACAGATCACAAACTGAGACAAAAAGGATGAAGTGACATGCCCAAACTCAAACGGTGTGAGTCGGATTCAAGAGCTAGGTTATAGCCTTTCTGCCATGTGTAGTGGAGAGGAACTCCTTGCTGGTGCATTTATGCTGCAACTGGGGCCCAGTGCGTGCACCCCTCATTGCCGGTCGGTGCAGGTTCTTCTGAGGGGTGGGAATTCTCTACTGGATTAGACTTCATTAAGTATACCTGAAAGCTGTTTGCCACACGCTCATAGACTCATGCACGGATCATGTTGTCCAGTCTCAATATATCCATGACCAGAACCCAGAGTAAATACTCCTGGTATCTAGGTCTATCTCTGACACACTCAGAGAACCCAGACTAAAATTCTGGGATTTATTTTTCTCTTATTTTTGCAAAGAAAATGTTGTTAGTGACAATTTCTATTTTTCAGGCTCTGGCAAAGAGCTGAGGAACATGAAATCAATGAGGCCAAAGATGTGGGATGACCATGATTCTGTTTTGTGAGAGGAGACCATCATACAATGAAATTAAAGAGAGAGAGAGACAGAAACAGAAAAAGAAAGAGTCAATGTATCTGTCAAGATAAATAATTAATTCCAAATATAAATTATTGATCCTGCTTTGATATGGACCCTAAATCATTTACAAGATCAGTCTGTAACTATACGTCTGTAGCACCAACATTACTATAGAGAAAAGGATGTATTGTATAGCAACCGCTAGAAGAGCAAATTGTCATGTGGGGACTCTAGAAGATGTTGCAATGGCTCACTCAGTTCTATACAATGGGAAAGGAAGGACAGCAAAGCATTTAAAAACAAACAAATGGTCCAATTCGACATGGCACTAAGCGACTCTAGTGAGGCGCTGAACACCATCAGCTTCTGTTCCAACTCAGCATCTCCAAAGTGACAGCAGAATCACGCCCAAGCAATCAATCTGGAGGCAAGGGCTACCCAAGAAGTGCAGTGGTGGTGGGTGTCAGTCCATTTCCTGGTGGACAGGTCTTCATGGCATGACGCACTGCAATGGACACTGACTGATACTCTCAGGCTTGGTTCGGATCTCACTGTGGTTACACATCTGTGTCATTTCACTGATTGCTACAGCATTACTCCCATGGTGGGAGATCAGAATCAGACCCTTCTTTGGGAATCTCAACATGCTGCTGCTGACACCATTGCTGCCATGTCAGATCCCGGCTAGGAGGCAGTCCACTAGGATGTTTTCTCAGGAGCCATGTCAATGATTTCAGGCTTGAAAGAGAAGAACAATTGCTTGCCATAGAAGCAGCTTCCAAGGAAGGGCTATGGCCATGTGTGGGACAATACACATTGACAGATAGTGTCTGGCCAGTGTGATGCCTTGACCCAGGAAAGCAGACAGATGGACAGATAGGCAATGTCATGGGGCTTTGTGAGGTAGCCTCCCCTGCCTAGAGGACCAATTCAGATTGTTATTGTAAATCTGTCCTCTTGCTGGGGTTTGTAAGCCTCAACTGAACTGAGCCTAAATCAGGGGTGACGCCTAAGTCTTAACTTAGGTTTCCTGGCACAATTTGTAACTCAACCAACAAACAGTGGAAGGAATGTTGCATCTGGATGGCAGGCAAGTTGGCATTTGTCTACATGGAGAAATTATTCAGAGATTTATTTCAGCTATAACTCTCACAATGTGGGCTCACTTATTCCAGACTAAGAGTGTCCACACAGGAAGCCATTTCAGTCAATTTCCCTCTATGGACAGGTCCTTAGAGTAGAGCTAGAGAATTTGATCATTAATCCTAGTGAAGATAAGGCCAAAAGGGGCAAGGCTGAGCCAGTTAGACTGTGCTTGTCGCCCTAGGATTGCTAGCTCACCCTACCATTATGTTGCCCATGCTACATCATGTCTCTTCCGTGTATAAAGATTTTCAGTCTTCATGGCTTTCACCAGCATGGAATTATAACTTAAAATGATAAAAAAAAAAAAAAAAAAAACCCTGAACCAACACCACTTTCATTTACAATAAGGAGCTCCACAGCCTTTAGTGGAGTCATTCCCGATTTACGACTGTGAGATCAAAATGAGGCCTTCTCTGCTGTTGGGAATCAAGCTTTACTTTATATTCCCCATGTAGCACAACGAATCGAGAGAGAGCACCGAGGTAGACACCCACTGGGTAGGCCACAGAGAGGACAAGGAGGAGATCAGAACATGGAGAAGGAATGAAACACCAGTCACACAACTCATGGCTTGATTTGTTTTCACATATTTTCAAATGAGCCAGGGGGCCAATATGATGGCTTCACTTCTGAAAATATGATAATCTCTTCTAGCCCCCTCCTTGCAGTGTTTTGACAGTCAGCTTTGATGGGCTGCGTGTGTTAACAAAGTCACTAAGACTTCTCCCCATTGCCTGCGTGGGGCATGCGCTGTCTGTCTGACACTGACTACAGACTCTATTAGCTTAGTAATTAAAAACAGCTGTAATCTGATCAGGTGGCGATCACGGTTACAAAATGAAGGAAGCCATTAGCAGGAAATGTTGTGGTTCAGGCAGACATCAAATCAGTTTAAAGAGATTGGATTTCATTGTTTTTATACAGTTACTCCATTACTATAATGCACTAGCTCCATTTAACTGACTCTCTCCGTGAAGCACTCATAAGGCAGTAGTGACATCTATGTGAAATGAACGGCATAAACTGAAAACTCCAAGGAGATAGCAGTGAAATTTACACCCCCACTCTGTAGAGAGTATTAATGCACATAGAGCTGGTTGAAATAATTTCTACTAAACTTTTTCCCCATTAAAAACTGCTGTTTCATCAAAACCTAAATGGCTCGCGAAAATGTAGCTGTTGGATGAAAATATAGTTAGGAAGTTCTCTCAGGTCCAGGATGGAATCTCTGGTCAAAATGAGAGCAAGAGAGAGCACACTACCCTAGAATAGCCAGTAGCTCAGTGGTTAGGGCATCGACCCAGGCTGTAAAAGATTCAGTCTGGTTGCTAGGATTTGAACCTGGGTCTTCCATAGCCGGGGGGGATGCCCTAACTTCAGGGATGCTCCTCTCACTTGAATTTTTTCCATTACATTTTTTGAAATGTCATGCCTTCATTCTGCACTGGGACATGATGTTCTTGTCCAGCCAGGTCAACCAATGAACCTTTTGGGTCTGTTTTTCCCTTGCCCAAGGCCCCTAGCTTATGTGATAAAGATTTTAGTACCCCAAACACTGGCCAAAGTGCCCCCAGCCCAGTGAGTTCTGTAGTGTAGCCCAAAGCCATCACCATCTGGAGGGAGAGTCCACAGAGACAACAGGTCCCAGGATCTCATGGGATGGGATGAATGCTTCCCAAGCCATCTTGATCCAGTCACAACCAGCCTGGCTGTCTTGGAGGGGCTCCCATGTACTCAGATGCTTAGTGTTGAGTACCAACAGAAAAACCTGGCTCTCCAGGCATTTGCTTTCTGTTGAAGTAAGGTCAAGAGGTACTGCTGAGGCAGCATGCTAATCCACAGGGAGGGGAGCTTTACATTGCTCCTGGGTGATGCCTCCTCTTCTGTCTATGTTGACACTGGCAGAGAGTGGGTTGCTGTGATGGTACCCACCACTTGTAGGTATAAAGGCCTCAATAGACCCCGCTGTCAGAAATAAGTCTCCAAGCCCATTATTTCAGGCTGAGCGTCCTTTTGAACCTAACATCCACTGGCATACCTTGCAAGCAGGCAGTGTTGCCCATTGGTTAGAAGAGAGGACTGGGAGGCAAGACATCCGGGTTCTATAGCTGGGACCCATGAACTGTGTTACCATGAACTGTGTTACCTTGTCCAAGTAAAACAGGTGAGATTATACTAGCCTGGGTACAGGCTTATGAGGGTTAGTTAATTAAATAGCAAAGCTCTCTTAGCTTCTCAGAGAAAGGCACTATAGCAATACAAATGGTGTACCTGGGTGCTGGCAAGAGATAAGCTCTCTCTTGCACATGGTCCTGCCTGGCACCTGAGCTTTAGAGAAGTTCCTCCAAAAGGTTGGAGCTCCAAAAAAGGCAAGCAATGCACCCACGCCCCAATTTCTAACCAGAGAAACTGAAATAAAAAGGAGCTACAGACAAGTGCTCAGCCTGATTCCTACAGCCAGCAAACAGAACCTCTCTCCAGTGGCTAAGTCCCTTTCTACTAGAAAATGGTTCTTTCAGCTTCATACTAATCCAGTTCTCATGTAGACAGGCAATATTCTTCTTTCTCTGCCACTCCCTATCTCCATGCCTCTCTATCATCATCACCTCTCAAATGGAATCAAATGCATCAAAGCCCAAGTAAAATATGTCTCCTTTGACCTGCTGGTAGTAAGTTCACCCATAGTTTTTACTGTAGCAGTGGCTGTGGTTTTCATGGTCAGTGATGATGGAATAGAAAAGAAACTGCAGTTTCTAATCAAATAACTCCTTTTGTCTTCAAAATCAAGCTGTGAAGTCTGGATTAAAATCCAAATTTCCCCAAAGTTTGTGGTCAAAGATAGGGTTTGGGTTCAGATTATTGTGTAGATGGCGTAGCTGTCTGGCTGAATTTTGATCTGAATCTCCCCCTAATTCATGGGTTTTCTGATCCTGGTTGAAACCACTCTCCATTCGAAAGGTCTTCAAAGATAAAGGGTGAATGGACCAGAGCTGGCTCTGGTTCATTGATGCACATGGGAGGCTTCGTGGGGCAGGGGGAGGGAGGGGTCAGAAGAAGCTAGTTCACTAGGGATGTGTGAAAGCACCCCATCACAGGGATCACGTGACCAATTTGTTCAATTCAGATCTGTTCCCAGCTTATGATCACTCCACACTGGGGCCCTCAAAAGATCCCCACTTGGACCCTCAAATACTTCATGATCTTGAGTGAATTTTTCTATACAGTGAGTCTGAGTTTTGAGCATGTAACATAGCATGAAACCTGCCCAGCTGAATGTTGTTTGGGGTTTTGTTGCAAAAGATTCACATAGCTCTACAGAACACTGCCAAGGTTTCATATTATGCTGTGACGTATTCGCGGATCGAATGAGAGCCTGCAACAACTTGAATACATAAATGGAACATTTCTTCCTCAAGATTAATAAGGTTTTCAAAGCTCCTTGCTCCCCTGCAAGGGAAGTAGCACATTCATTCGTGATGCATAGGTACATATGATGAAACAAACTAGCACTCACTAATGCTAACATGAATCCGTTCCAACAGATGTGGTCTTATTACACTGGTAGCATCATTCAGATGATACCCACATTATGACTTTTCCATATGGCACTCAAACCATCTGTGGGGAGAGAGAGACAGCGCTGAGCACAGACCTGTAGCATCTGTGCTTTGTATACATATTCAAACAAGACAGAGAGACATAAAGCCATAGGGATGTGCCTTGCTGTCCATCCGGGAATGGAAAGACAGAAGAGGATGTTAGCGATGTAGCTTTTACCCCCACCCTGCTGCTGTCTGATTGTAGCTGCCATGACTGTCTCTGGAAGTTACGGACAAAGCAAAGTACCATCATCTGAATCCTGTGTGCCAGAATCTGCCCTCAGTTATGCCCATTCAAATCTCCAAAGCACAAACACCAACTCTTGGGCCTGTGAAGCCTTTGCCAGCAAGATAAATATTCCGTTTTATTTTTAGCAAGCTCTTGTCAGGAGAGAATTTCTTTGTGTCCTTCTGAGGAGCCCGCCGGATCTTTCATCGGTTTGTTTTTCTCATTAGCCGGCATAGGCTTTGTTCTTATTTAATAAAGATTAGGATCTGCTGCCTCCAGCCCTCTCTTTTTGCTCCTCTGTCAGGCCTGTGGGGGCTCAGTCTGCAACGACATGTTTGATGTCAGGCTACGGAAGTTTAAATGAGGGACAGAAGCTGGCCAGACTCATGCATTCACTTCCTCCAAAATTCTCTGCTTCCAGCTCGGTCTCACTGACCACTGGCAGCTTCTTCTCATCTTGCTGCCAGGGTTGCCCTCCACAAAAGAGGTTAATTGCCTCTCACTTGTGGAAAAGGGGGAAGAGGCTGGGACAGAGAATTTGTGACTGTATGGATCACTCTGGGATAGGACTATAGCTTGCCAGCTGGCTTGAAGTGCAGAGGTTCTGTCCTGAGCTAATTAAAGGCAATGTGGGAGATAAAGGAGAGGGGCAGAGAAATTCTAATAAAAAATAAATACAGGCTGTATGCCATGCAGACGACACCCAGTTGTGCCACCTTTTGGGTGTAAAGAAGGGCTCTGAATATTTCATTGCCTAGGCATTATTACAAGCAACCCTTCAACTAGAAAAACAAAGATTGTTTATTTTATTAACTGAACTGAATCACCCTTAGAAAAAAAAAGTGTTTAAAATTACAATGCCCATGAGCTTGAACTAGTTTTTGTGAACATGCAAATTAGTCATCAAGGTTCTATGAGCTTTGCAAAGCCTTGAGCTTGATCTTTACCCCCCCCCCACAAGTGCCCCAATACTATGCCATGATTTGATTAAATCCTCAGCACACTGAGCAATATGGGGAGGATGGGAGGGGGAGAAAGCAACTCTATGCCACAAGAGCTGTCCAAGGAGTGCTCCATATTCCAGAAACCAACTTCAGAGCATTGTGGGTGGGAAAGTAAAAGGAAGACCTGGCTACTTCCCAAGAGCTGGTCCAGAAGTTTCCACATTCCGGAAGCCCACCCTGGAGCATGGGCAAAAGAAGAATTTCATTCTGGCAGAATTCTGTGAACCTAAACTCAAACCTTTCCATGTTCCCCCAGCTCCAATGACACACAGTTAATGAAGTTAAGCGTTGCAGCTCCCCACAAGCTCCTTTAGGTGTGACTGCAGGAGAAATTAAAAAAACCCTTTACTCAACTCTTGGCAAGTAAGATTTGGTGCTTAGATAGTACAGTGACTGGCAGCAGCTAGATAAAAGATGTTATTAGCATCATATATGTGAATTTGTGTGCAGACCACCACCTCAAAGCCAGCTCAGGTCAGCAGTGACAGAAAAGTGTTGTCATTTGATGGCTGTTCACTGGATTATCTCAGTCCAGTTCTCAGTAGACATGTGTCCCTACTGGAGTTGACATTCATTAATTCCCAGGCTCCATTAGCCATCTCAGCAGAGGGGGCTAATGCTTAGACAGTGAAATCTGCACTATCTTTTCATTTTTAGAGGTGGCCATTCCACGGCAGGGTTAGATACACATTAGTGTGCCAAGGTGCCAAGGAAGCTTGAGTTGCATTGCTTGTGCCATAGCGTCGGCGTGGCTGAAATAAAAAAAATCTGTTTCCATTCTGACATATTTCACCTGGGCAAAATTCATATGAAGGTAAATTTAACTCCAAACCCACCCAAATCTCAGGGCTCAGACTCAGGGTTTTTTTTTGTCTAGCTTTGCAATTGACCTGCTATACGACCATAGGGCAGTTCTATCATTTCTCTGTGCCCCTGTTTACCCATCTCTATAAAGAAACAATACTGAGTTGTGTTGTGGGCTGATTATATGATTTAATTCATTAATGTCTGTAAAGGTTGTGGAGATCTTCAGAGAGAAGGGAAAATAAATTGTTATATATTAATAATGGTATAATGTCTACACAAAAACGTGACAATGGTGTTAGCTTTTAAATTGTTAGTTAATGTATTTTAATTGTGTTAGAGATTTTATTTTTATTTTTTTTAAAAACTTTAAAAGTTACCAAATAATAAAAAGTTTTGACAATTTTTAGCAGCACAAACTTAATGCAGAAGTCTATATGTAAAGAGCTGGATAATTTTATGGCCAATAACATTTATAGCTATGTGAGCTAAGATAAGGGTAATGGACCCTCCTGCTTCAAGGCATAAACTGTTTGCCTGAGGGGGTCAGGAAGGTATTCTCCCCCCGCCCCACCCGCCAGCATTGCACAACTTAGCAGGCCAGAAGTATTCTGGGTTTGATTTTTTTTCCTGCCTTTATCTGAAGCAAAAGGAATTGGCTGCTTTTAAAAGCTGGATACCAGACTTGATAGATCACACAAAGCACTTTTAATTTTTGTTACAAATAGTCACTCATATTTTTAAATGTACTCATCCTGACCATTTTAGCATCATTTTTGTGTTTACCTTCGATTACTATGTAAGAATCAAGTTTTACTAGCCTGGCTGTTCTTGGAAAAAGAATTTCAAAGCCACAAATGATAGCATTTGTGGAAATAACATTTAATTTGTATGCACACATTTTTGTGTCAATGACTGCACACTCATCTAATCAGAACAGATCCTGACCTTATGTTTTATCTGACCAGTCACAACTAACCAATATACTTCAGGAATCAGATGCATGTAGTGACTGTTTGCCATTCATTAATTAAAACAAATTAATCACACACAAATAATAATCACAGAATGATTTCAAATAATGAATTTGTTCAAGGAAATGTGCTTCCAGTGGTCCATGAGGGAAGAAAAAGGCTAAATCCCTCAGATACATTATTTTCTACAAAGTTATTCATTCAGCACCAGTTCCTCATCTCAATAGCTTCAGATGATAATATACTCCAATACAGATCATTATTATAATGGGGAAAATGTTGTCTGCTCCTCTTAAAGACATTTCTCACTGGTCAAAAGCATAGAGGGACTCATTTCTCTCTCTCTTGCTCAGACTGAGATAAATCACAAGAAAACAAAATCTTGACTGATCCCCCTCCCTTTACATTTGACTGATTTGCTCACTGCAATGGAACAAAGGTTTAGGGGTGGGGAAGGAACCCTTAATAAAGATAAAATCTAGTTCTAATGTCTATAAAAAAACAAGCCCAAATTCCCAGTTACTTAGACATGTGCTGTAGCAATGGAGAAATGGAGAAAGGAGTTATTTATTAATAGAAGGGCATTTCAGTATAGATCTAAGGAGGTGATATCAGCCAAATGGAGCCATTTAAAGGAATAATTCTCAATACATTCTAACCAGCCAGTCCAGACATCCCCACCCCCATCACATCTCAGTGCAGGCTGCTGTTAGTCATCAAAAATGTGGCACATGATGCATACATACTTCCAGTGACATACTTCGGTTCCTCACAGAGAGCTGCCACAATTTGACCGTTACCCCAGAACCCATGATTTTCAGAAACCCGTCTCTCTTGTTATTCCTTTGGCCAAAAGTCGCAAAAACACTGTCAAGAGAATGGAAATTGTAAAAATTTCACTTACAAACCAGTCTCGTTAGACAACCTGCCCAGTGTGGTCGAGTAGAGAAGTCCTGGTATATAATCTGACTCAGGTTCTTCACTGCCTTTCACCTTCGTTTCCACCCCTGCAAGATGAGGACAGTCATGGGTGAGTAAATGAATGGAGATTTATAACTGGGTAGCATTTTTTACACCTATTTTACACAAAGTACAAGGCAGTGGAGATTCAGGTCCACCGTCGGTTTAATTTCTTGGCATGAATATGCTAGCCCAATGCACATTAGTGTTTAGATTCAAACTGCACATTAGTGTTTAGATTCCAAAGAGGCCAACTGTTTTTGATAACACTAAATTTAAAGCAAAACAACTCTCTTCCAACTGTATACAAAGTTTTGAGTCACGGCAAGTAGATTTTATTCCAACAAAGTGTGAATTTTGGCCCTCGAATTACTTACCAAAATCTCTTTAATTAACACCTTTGCCCTCACTTAGCATTATTTCATATGGCAGCCCAAATTCTCTCTCCTGCCTGGAGGAACTCATTAACTATGCAAATGAAATGCGCTCCAGCAGAGTGACAGCCAATTATACCACCTCCCTCCTACCAAATGAATACAATCCACTGGGTGTCTTTGGGGAGCTAAGGGGGAAAAGCTGCATAGGCTACTGCGTTGCTGTATGTGGCAATCAAGCTTTCCCACCGCTGCTAAACCCAAAAGGAAAATTTGTTGTGTTGTTAATCTGCTTTTGCTGCACTCCCAAGCGCAGGCTGTCCCAGGGGAGTCCTGTGAATGTGCACTCAAGTCCTAGCTGTCCCTTCTTCCTGCAAACAAGGGAGGAAATGTGTGCTTCCTTCATTGATTTTGATGCAAAAGACAGGCAGCCACGGTGCTGTCAAATTAATTAACTCCAGACCCATTTGCATTTATGAGCCACAAAAAATTAGTGGCCATCACATTGCAGTCCTTGTGGAGTGGGAGGCAGAAATAAGATAAAAATACTAGACTTTCTGAGTCTTCCCTAGAGGTACCAGGTTATCCCCTCTTTAGAGCCACAAGTCATTCTGAGAAGCCTCACAAATCCTATAGTTGCATAACCATGTTTGAAATTACTTTTCTGAAGGGTGCAAGATTGCTGTGTGTACTCATGGGGTGTATACCTAGTATTTTGTGTTATAAATCTAACAGTTTCTGCTCACTGGGTTCTTAGATATGGGTCTGGCCCTTTCCTCTCCAGACTGCTGGGTACAAAGACTGATGAAGATCTCATGTTTCGTTAGGGCACTTTCTCATTATCACTGCAACCAGAGTGCTCGTGAGACAATCCCCCTCCTCCAGTCTTTTTGAGGAACAACTTACGTACAGGGTATTCCCCTCCCTGCTTTGAGGTGCAAAGCCAGTTCTCCAGATGCACCAGTCAGCATGAGGAATAACACCTCTGGAGACGCTGTGTTTCTTTATCCCTCTCACCCTCTCTCATCAGAAAGGGAATGCAGACTCAAGGCACAGGGAAATGCTTTGAAGGCCCCATGTGGTGGCTCACAGGGGCTCAGATCCCTGATTAGATGGAAATGCCTGCTGAAACCTGATAACAAACCAATATCTGAATGGGAGGCTCCAGCAAATGCTACCAGAGTCAAGAAGTGTCTGTTGTTACATGAAATATTAACATCCACAAACACACACACAGAGCTATGCACACAAAAATGTTTACTTCCATACACAGATGTGTACGTCCATATACTTTATATTACATGCCTACACACAGAAATGCAAATTTAGATTATTTTCTTACATCGTTCCTTTCTGTCTTCTCATGTTGCTTAATTGTTATCTGGGCTAAACTTCAGAATTGAGTCCTATAATAAGTGGCAATCAGAGTTAACACACATACCAGTGAGGGGGAGCTTTATGACTTACAAACATATAAGGTAAATTTGCAAATGATGCAGAAATATAGATTAGAAGATTTGAGTGAATCAAGATAATGCAATATAGATTTAAGACAACATATTAATAGGCTCTGCAATCAGTAGGGTTGCCAGGTGGTTTAACCAAAAATACTGAACACCCCTTCCTACCCCCCCAAAAAAATACGGGAAAAAATTCCGTTGAGGAAAAAAAAAAAAGAAGGGGGAGACCAAAGTTGTTGAGGGGGAAAAAAAGGACCCCGAGAGTTAAGCAAAAAGAATAAAAAAATTTTTAAAAAACCCAGCATGGCCCCTTTAAGAAATGTGTTTGAGGCTTTTTTCCGGCAGCCATCTTGTTTTCCTGCACCGAGCCAGAAGACAGCTCCCCTGCGGAACCAGGTAATCGGAGTGGGGGGAGGCCTGGGTGGGTCCGGGGGCTGGGCCTAGTAGCTGAGTGTGTGTAGGGTTGCCAGGTGTCCGGTATTTTCGCCTCCTGGCAGGGAAAAAAATCAGAAAATACTGAACATTTTAGGTGTCCGGTATTTTCTGATTTTTTTTTTACCGGACAGGAGATGAAAATACCAGACTGTCTGGGTCAATACCGGACACCTGGCAACCCTAGCAGCCAGAAGGGACCATTGTGATCATTTAGTCTGACCACCTGCCTAGCGCAGAGGACTGCCCCAAAATAATTCCTAGAACAGATCTTTTAGAAAAATAACCCCAACTATACATATAGTATGATGGGGGTTAATTTGGCTATGACAAAGCAGGAAAGAGATCTTGGAGTTATTGTGGATAGTTCTCTGAAAACGTCCACACAGTGTGCTGCAGCGGTCAAAAAGGCAAATAGAATGTTAGGAATTATTAAGAAAGGGATAAAAAATAAGACACAGAATATCTTACTGCCTCTGTATAAAATTATGGTACTCCCACATCTTGAGTTCTGTGTACAGATGTGGTCTTGTCACTTTTAAAAAGATTTTTTGGCCTTGAAAAGGGTTCAGTAAAAAGGGCAACTAAAATGATCAGGGGTTTGGAACAGGTCCCATATGAAGAGAGGCTAATGTGACCGGGACTTTTCAGTTTGGAAAAGAGGAGACTGAGGGGGGATATGATAGAGGTCTATAAAATCATGAGCGGTGTGGAGAGGGTGAATAAAGAAAAGTTATTAATTAGTTCCCATAATGTAAGGACTAGAGGACACCAAATGAAATGACTGGGTAGCAGCTTTAAAACTAATAAGCAAAAGTTCTTCTTCACACAGCGCATAGTCAACCTGTGGAACTCCTTGCCAAAGGAGGCTGTGAAGGCTAGGACTATAACAGAGTTTAAAGAGAAGCTAGATAAATTAATGGAGGTTAGGTTCATAAAAGGGTATTAGCCAGGGGGTAGGAATGGTGTCCCTGGCCTCTGTTTGTCAGAGGCTGGAGATGGATGGGATGAGATAAATTGCTTGATCCTTGTCTTCAGTCCACCCCCTCCGGGGCACTTGGTGCTGGCCATTGTCGGCAGACAGGTTACTGGGCTAGATGGACCTTTGGTCTGACACTACAGCCATTCTTATGTTCTTATGGTTTAACAATGGCAAGTGATGGGGAATCCACTCTCACCTTTGGTATGTTGTTCTAGCCTTCACTGTCAAGGTATTATACCTTACTTCTAGTTGGAATTTGTCTAGCTTAAAATTCCAGCCATTGGATCACGCTACACCTTTCTTTGATAGATTGAAGAGCCAATTATTAAGTATATGTTCCATATGTAGATACTAACTGTAATCACATCACCCCTTAACCTTCTCTTTCTTAAGCTAATATGTAGGTGACAGCCCATGTGTAACAAATCATTGTTAAAGCATAGCATGCACGGTTACAATCCTCCATACACAGCTACAGAATATGCAGCTACACATGCGCATGCAGTTATGCATGTCTGCTATGCTACACGTACACCTCCAAGATAACATTTAAGTTAAAATGACGACGTGATTTTTAAAAAATAAAACCAACTTTTTTTTAAAAAAAGTTTTTCTGTTTAAAAGGGCCTCTAGGATCCAGAACAGGGTACATTCATAAATTCCTTTCACCCCAAATTGCTTTGCTATCTATGTATGTAAAAAGAATCACTGAGATGCAGCCATTTCTGAGATAGAGGATGGTAGCTGAAAAGTAGTAGGATACCTTCCCTAATCTTGCATAACATTCAGAGGGGAAATTTTGAATGAGGATGCCAGTGGTTCCCCCTTACCACCATCCTTTCTCCAGGGAAATACCATGGGATCTTTTAGGGCTTGGATTTTCAGGAAGAGCTCTGTATGTACTTCAGCATAGTTATTACTATTTCAGTTCTATTCATAAATTGGGCCTCTGTGGGGGCAAAAGGCCATTTAGAATTACTGGCACAAGTATCTGATTCACGCAGGCCATTGCAGTAACTGGACATGCACATTAGGTACACACATGGCTGGACCTCAGGCATCAGCTTTTGGAAAAGCACATTCTGAGTACCCAAGCAAAGCAAACAGATGCTGGATTTTAAACACGTCATCCAAAATCTCACATACAGTCAACTGAATGGATCTCAGTTTAATATCCCTGGAAGGGTAAAGAGCTGAGATGATTCAATTGCTATTCAAACCTTTGGTTCTAGGAAATCCATCTGCTGCAAACTTGATACTTAGTCATTAAACCATGCCCTTCCAGCCAAAGTTCAAAGGGAAAAGGTGAGGTTAGCATTGGAACATATTGTTTACTCAAGGGAGGAGGGACTCTCCCTCATTGGCACCCTGATGTGCCTCCTTGGTTCCCTCATTTTCACCCTCATTTCTCCTGATTCCCAAATTTTGACTATCAGCCTTCACCCTAAAAGGGCTCATATGCTAACATGAGCCACTGCCTCCCTCCCCTAGCATTTACCTGGGGCAAACCGGGCTATTTCAGTCCTGGTCTGCCACATTCACGCAACCTATCCTACGGGACTTTTGACAATGTTCTGCAATCAGGATGATTCTTCACATTAAGGGGGCAGGTTTTTCAACTCCTTATGCTGCCTCTAAAAGAGGATATGGTAGATGCCAGTGGTGTATTCCCTACAGAAGTTGGGGTTTTATTTTAGGAAGGGGTTTATTGCTCCCAGGTTAGGTGTCAGCAAGCATTGAATTCTGAGTAGCTATAAACCTGAGGGGCCGCAACAGCTGGAAATGACCTTGCTGCAACCCCATCCAGAGCTCGCCCACTGGAAATGCAGCTTCCAATAAATTTAACACTCATCTGACAATCTCTCCGCATCCTCCTGGTGGCAGAAGCAAAGTCAGTTGGTTTGGAAAACCCAGGTTGGATCTGAGCAAATGGCAGAACTTCCGGGGGCCTTTTTGCCTATGAAGAAAGTTCTGTGTTTCCATGACTTTTCTATTGGTTTATTTTAATTGGGGTAGGAGAGAGGGGAAGGAAGGGACTGGTGCAAAAGCACTAAGTAAGAGTGCCCTGGCTCATTGTGTGACAGTGAGTAATTCATTTAACTGCTTCAGTTTCCTGGGGGACAACAGCATTTACCTCCTATTGCAGCACTATGAATGAAAGTTATGTAAATGCAAAGAATTCCTTTTAAATTCAGTGGATGCACCACACATTTTCCTTCATCCTCAGGGGCTGAAATATCATCCTCAAGGAGATTGACCTATATGCTACCTAAATTGTAGTTCAATAGAGACAAATCCCAGCGATTTTGTTGCAAACGAGTAAAAGGAAAAGTGTGTATATCTGCATCTGTGGAAGCACAGCAAATGCAGAAGGCGTGTGAGATTTAAGTATGTTTGCATCTGCATGCAGCGATAGGTGTATGCTTGGGTGCCCAGGTGCCAGTGGGTGTATGAGTGCGTTCATTGTTTCTGTATGCAGGCACATGCCTGCTTGGAAGCCAGGGCAAGCTGTTGATGGATTCTCTTGAGAAGCGGTGTATATAAGAGTGTGAGAGAGTGAGTGAGAGAGCATGCTCACAAGCACAGGGGCAGCTTGGCCAGGCTGCACATAGGGTCTCTTGGGAGCAGGGCTGTATACTGAATTTATGAGCTCTTAAGTCATCACATTTACAATTTATATTCCTCAGTCTTTTAATCTCGGTAATAAACTTGGACTAAATCTTCACTGAAGCACTGTTGAAATTCCCCTGTTCCCAGCCTCCTACAGCAGCCGTATTCAGAAGTTTTCCGTAAGTAAACCCCAGGTTGTGATGTTGGCTGTTCAGATGGGGAAGGTGGGGGAGGCTTTCTTCCTCAGTTTCCCATGTCATGTAAAATCTTCTCAATTAAATATTCCACCTCTTCTGATTACTCATTCTTGTTCTGTGCAGCTAGGAATAATGTACCATGCAGATGTACATAGTTCTGGAGTTGTACTATTCCTCCTGCCCTGTAAAGAGAGAGGGCTCCTCTTCTGACACAGACACTCAGAGTTGTTCAACAGGATTGACTCTGAAGGAAAGAAGGAATTTTAAACGCCCTAGAACTGTACATGCAAATCACCAGTCTGATGGGTTAAATCACAGAAGTCCCCTTGAGGTTGTCCCTCAGTGTGCTGATTATGCTACTAACACTCACCTTCCTGCTCTCTAGAGCTCCCTCACCACCCTGTCCTGCTGGACCAGATTCTCTAGTTTTGCCTAGACAAGGCACAGAACGGGAGTCCTCTGCCGGCCCCCCCCCGGTAGAGCAACACAGACACTAAACCAGCTCTGTTCCGGGACGGCTCAGTTATAAGGGCTCAGCACCCAGGAAACCAAACCCCAAAAGGGACCAAAACTACAAATAAATTCTTCTTACTCAGAAGCTCGTAAAGTCTGCCCGCTTTAACAATAAAAGAGAGATATGCACAGTGGTTCCTCTCCTCCAGGTAACAATTATTTACACAGGGCTTGATAATAAACAAAAGTGGTTTTTATTAAGTACAAAAAGTAGGAAGTAAGTGGTTGCAAGTGAAAACAGTCAAATCAAAGTAAGTTATTACATTATAATGAACAAAAAATGCTTCGCTCCATGGTGTCCAACCAGTTCTGAAGCAGTGGTCCCCAAGGCGGTGCTCGCGGGTGCCATGGCGCCCACCGAGTGATCAGGGCTGGCCCCGCTCCCGGGCTTGTGGGACATGGGCAGTGCCAGCCCCTGGGTGCATGGGTGGTGCCAGCCCCAGGTGCACAGCACATGGTCAGTGCTGGCCCCGGGCGCATGGCGGTTAGGCGGCCCCACCCCCGGGTGCGCGACACGAGGTCTGTGCCGGCACTGGGCATGCGGTGTATGGGTGGTGCCGGCCCAGGTATGTGGCACAGGGGTGGCGCCGGCCCCGGGCACACAGCACATTGGTGGCTCTGCCCCACGGTGAGCGGCGTGAGGGCTATGCTGGCCCCGGGCTTGCAGCGTATGGGCGACACTGACACGGGTGCACGGCATAGGGGCGGCGCTGGCCCTGGGCGCACAAGCACATGGGTGGCCCCGCAACCGGGCACGCGGCGCATGGGCGCTGCTGGCTCCTGGGCATGTGGCACAGGTGCCGGCTCCAGGCACACAGTGCATGGGGGGGGGTG